GACTCATTCCAAGAACTTAAAGTGAATCCTTGGTCATTAGATTAGAATTGAAGTTAAAGTTGAAGCTCATGCAGTACCTGCTTACATGTACATAACAATCAGAATGCATTGGTGCTTTTGAAAAATCATTATGAACTACATGAAAAATCCTCATTTTTATGCTACAATATCCTATTGCTACAACTCATGAGCTAACATGTAATAAAGTCTGATTACTTGTTTAGAAACTTCTTAATATCTAATCTGAGGAGTTATTTTAGCGCCTCTGAGCATCCTCAAGCAGCAATGAGTGATTCAATAAGGAATCTTATCTGGTAAGACATTTTATGATGTCATTTCTGTTTGTAGCCTTGTCCCTGGATGACCAGATAGGAAACTTTGAAGTGGGAAAAGACTTTGATGCTTTAAGGGTTAATGTGGCAGCTCCAGGTGGACCCATCGATCTGATCCAGTCTGACGGACCAAAGGTACTGAGGCGACATCTTGATTTGTACAAATATTTCAAAATTAGAAACTCCAGGTTTTAGCATATTGATAAATCTATGCTCCCTCACTTTTCAGATCCTTTTGGAGAAGTTCCTAAACTTAGGTGAGTGTTGGTTTCATTTTATTATTTTTTACTTACTAAACTGTTTCTTTCAGACACTTTTCTTGTGTTTGTTTTTTTCACTTGCTCCTTCTTTGACAGGTGATGATCGGAACATCGTGGAGGTGTTTGTAGCAGGGCGGAAGGTGGTGCCGTTCACAGATGGCCTTGGAGAAATCTGACTGAAATGTGGGAATCGTGTGGAAAATGGAAAAACCTGTGACTGCATGAACATGGATTTTTTTTTCACAAATAGGAAGGAAAAATATAGTAAAGCCAAATGTGAACATGAGAAAAAAAATGAAGCAATTTAATGCAGCTCAACAGGCCAAACAGAGATCAGCCAAATCTGAGTTCAGGCTGTTCAAAATGTCTGTCAGGTTTTAATTAGGAGAAAAAGATTTACTGAATACTGTTTGCACTTTTCCAAATAATTGAGGCTGATAATTAGCCAGATGCTTGAAATTTCTGCTTTTTTATGCCCAAACTTTAGCATAAAATAAGCTCTATGTCCTCATTGTTCACTTCAACATCAGACTTTTCTACTTGAACCATCAGGGAGACAAACTTGCTTGTTAATCGATTCAAATATTTTCTATCACATGCACGTTTAAATGTTGCTAAAGCTCCAAATGGTGCCTCTTGTTGTTCTCAGGGAAAAGAGGCGGTATTGCCTGACCTGATTATCTGCAAATGATGATCCTTGTGTTGTGAAAACAATGCTCTGACTAAAGCTGGAACAAATAGATTTTTAATAATGACAAATTCAGTTTTTCACAGTACACTCCACCCAAATGCAGCCGTTCAGCTATTTAAAGCAGAGGAGACACATGACGAGAGGATTTTAAACCATGTTCTCAATTTTTCTCAACTGCAGTTTTCTGTTTGGCTACAGTACAGGCTGCTGCAGATTGCACAGTTTATGAGAAAATGGATTTCTTACTCTTTTGAACAGCTTTTATCGAAATGATCCCAGAATCCAAATTGTTCTCAGTGCCAAATGACCTCAGTGCCTTTTTAAAGGGAACCACTTTTGATGTTGATATTATTAAATTTTTATTCAATTCAAATTGTTTTGTATTTTGAAAAAAAAAACATATATTTTTTCAATGTGGACCAAAAATTAGCACTTTTTGTTAGTTATTTAAGACACAGTGTACCACAATAATAATTTTATATATTAAAGTCAGTATGCATTTCATCATGTTACATAATAATAATAAAAATCTAAATAACGAACATAAACTCAGTTTTATTTTTAAGCTCATCACCTGTCATCGGTTATCATTTTTTATTGCTGTCATCTATGTTAATAACCAAGGATGAAAGGGATGCTATTGAACAAATAAGCGTCTCTGTTGGTTTCATGAGATATTTTGCTAACAGACAAATTATGCACATGGCTGCCTGGCCAGAGGGAGGCAGTGCACCTGTCTCTGTATTGGGAGTGGCTGTGGAAGTGTTTAGGAGTTGCTCTGTAACCCTTGAGTTGCTAGTTCAATCTCCCATTCCATTCATCTCAGTTCATGTGTCCTTGTGCAAAACGTGCCTTGCCTGCTGGTGGTGGTCAAGAGGATCTGGCATTAATTTGCTACCATCAGTGTGTGAATGATTGAAGTGCTTTACAGTCTTGCTAAAGTGGTATATAAGTTCAAACTATTCACCATTTATTTTGATGTTGTAATTTACAGAGGTGTATCAAAGTACCTTTACGTTGTTACAGTACTAAACTATTTTTTGAGGAGTTGTAATTTTACCAAGAATTTTTTTATTGTGACTTTTATTTTGTTACATTCAATCAGAACATAACAATGATACTTCGACTTCTTTTCTTTGAAATTTAACACCTTGTTACACATTAAATGTAAAGCAATTAACGTCAGTCATTTTCTAGCAAGGTATTTTTACTTTTACTTAGTTATTTATTTTCAAGTACTTTATTCACGTCTGATAATTAAAAAAAACTTTGGTGCAAGTGGACCTACATAAACTTCAGTTTTTAACATGAAGGGATTTTTAAGCATCACTGATTCATTTTTCAGGTGCCTCATATCGCCTAATCCAGAGATTCTTAACCTGTGGGCCGCGGCCCAATTGTGGGCCGTGAGCGCCACCTTGAGGGCCTCAAAAGAACAACAGTTTTTAACTTTGGGCCGCAGAGGGCCGCGGGACGGCATTGATTTTGAATAAGGTGCAACACATGTTCTCACC